GGGGGAGGCGTGGGCCGTAGTGGGAGGTGTGGGTGGGCTTCTTTGTACCTTAACGATGTTCCTGTTTCCAGTCCAGGGAAGAGGTAAAGATAAGCCTGTGGAAGGACCACTTTGTGGAATATGGCAGGACCGTGTGCATGTTCCGCACGGAGAAGATCCGGAAGCTGGTGGCCATGGGCCTCCCCCAGTGTTTGCGTGGCAGGCTCTGGCTGCTCTTCTCAGGTGAGCGGGTCTGCGCCTCTGGGCCCATGTGATTTCTGGAGCAGTCGTATGACAGGCAGGCTGAGCGGTGGGTGTGACCAGGCTAAGTGATGGGTGTGACCTGGGTGCAGGCTGAGCGTGGGTGTGACCAGGCTGAGCTGTGGGTGTGATCAGGCTGAGCTGTGGGTATGACCTGGGTGCAGGCTGAGCGGTGGGTGTGACCAGGCTGAGTGCGGTGGGGGTGGGGGGGCAGAGTATAGGGAGGGCTCACACCTCCCCCGACGGCCCATGCCTCCCCCTGCGGCAACTGGGCACTGTCGCTGGGCTGACCTGCTCGCTCCCGCCATCTCAGCCTCCTCAGTGCCCCATGTGCGTCTGGCTGGCGTGGGGCTGGTGGAGTGCAAGGCCCAGCGAGGCGTAGAGTCTGCTCTGTCCTGAGGGCTCTGTGAGGAGCCGCATCTGCAGGGAAGGGCCGTTCTGGGCGTGAGCCCTCAGCAGGCTGCACCTGGTGCCTCCCAGGTGGCTTGCTGGCCGCAGCTGGGATCACCCTGAGCACTGGTTCCTGGGCTCCTCCCTGGGGCCTTCTGTCCTGCTCCCTCACCCGGCCTCTGCCCTGGCACTGCCGCAGCCCCAGGCCCACCCCCTGCTGCTGTGGGTGCTGGGACCTCACGGATGGATGGATGGACTGAGACTCCCGAGCAGGACGCCTTGGTCGCCAGGTTGATAGGAGCCATTTTGTCTGCAGGACTGGGGCCAGAGCAGGGGCAGGGCTGGGGGCAGAGCAGGGGCAGGGCTGTTGGCAGAGCAGGGACAGGGCTGGGGGCAGGGCTGGGGCAGAGCAGG